TTCTCGTGCTCGTGTCGCATGAACCCCAGATTTAACTACCAAACAGCCAAGTGGAGCAATGGCACTGGCTGCCCTTTTGTCTGCTCTCTGTTCTGGCAGGCAAATTACATGCAAAAATACTTCAGACTGGTTTCCAGTGTTGCATCTCTTTGCTATTATGTAATCTTTTCCTGCTAAATATTTGATTAGCAGAGGTACAGCTCTTCTAAGCCTGTGGGAATATCCACATGACACTGAATTCACTGATAAAATAACAAAAGCAGCAACACAGCATGTGTGTTTCAACAAAATGTTTTTATTAGCTATCCCCCCCCCCCCCCCCGCCGCACTCTCCCGAGACTAGGCAGTTCGCTTTCTACTTACCTCTCTCTGTTACAGAGGAAAAATATTAATTTGTAACTGTTCTTGGCATTATCAGTAATTTCTCTGAGTGTGCTTTACTTTCAAGGTTTAAATTGTTTCTAGTTACATCTACCTTTTTGTAGTTTGCTGTGGATTTGCCAATGTTACTGCGAAGGAAGAAACTTAAAGCTTGTATCTTAAAGAAACAGAAACTTAGTTTGAGAGTCTTTGCTATGTAGATTTAACTTTGCATTCTATACATCAAAGAGTGAGTTTTAATAATTTTTTTTAAACTTTATTTGAACGGAGGGCTGACCACACCATCTTAGAAGATGAACAAAGATGGTTACACAATAAGAACAGTTGTGAAACTAATTGGACTCTTAATTTCCTTTCTAACTTTGTCTTCTTTCTCTCAATTTAATTTTTTAAGGTAATCCTCAGACAGTTCATCAAGTTCACCTGAATCCTGGAAATTCTGACAGTAATACTTATCAAAGTATTAAGCAGATGAGAAAAGCAATGGAAAAAGAAATAAAGAGTGAGAGAACAAGAGGAAATGGTAGAGAGTTAGTATTCACCCTCATGCCATTGTATGCTCTTGGAGTGGGAGTGTTTGCAGCATACAAATTTCTTAAGGTAAGCCATAAGAAAAGCATTTAATTATTGGAATTAGAAGGAAAGGTAACTGTTTTTTTGTTTGTTTGTTTTTCCCAATTATGAGCCCGTGTATATGATTGTCCAAAAGCCATTTCTTGCTCGGTTCGACTTGGAATGTGAGCTCCAAAGTTAAAATTATGGTATATCTGATTCTTCCTCATGAAGGCTCCTGACTTTTAGATAATCAAAGAAGTGAGAGTCTTACCTCGCTAACCTCAAATAAGAATCTGAGAACCTAAAGAGTGCTGTTACCTGAGGCAGTAACTTAAGCCTCATCAGTATTTCGCTTCCTTTTCATTCTTCAGAATGAGGTTGGGTGTGGGAAGGAGATGGATGACTCCTGCAGAGTAGTGGTCTTAGATTAGCAATGAGATAGAATAGCAAGTAGTCCAGAGCTTTTATTTCAACGTCTCATTTGATCATGCAGCTGCAACATAGACTTATATCCATGAAATGTGATACCTCTTCTACCATTAGCAAATTAAGAAAGGAGAACACATAATCCGTTTGGGTGGGGTTTTTTTGTTTGGTTGGTTGGTTTTTAGATGTCAGTGTTTATATGTGTTATTTGTAGTAAGAGATATTAATAGCACTTGCTGAGAGTGCACCTGGAACATTGTTGCTTGCCTTCAGGGAAGAAAGCCTTAAATCCGAACAGGACTGGATTTCTTCATTTCCATAGTCAGTTTCATACCATCTCCTATGTGAGAAAAATGCAACAGTTTATCAAGGTGAACACAGAGGCTGACCAGTTTGGTTTTACAAATAAATTTAATTAGGTTGTAAATAAGATTTAAACATCATAAAAACAATATTTTGAGTGTTACAACTCTTTACACTTGTGGGATTGAAACATAAATATTTTTATAATAGCATCTTTATTATTGTAAGAAAGATGTTTTACCTCCTGTTTGATGATTAGAGACTGGATCCAGTAACTTAGAAGGTTCCTTCTGTTCATTTTTGAAAACTGGAGTTAAAATAGCAACTTCTTTCTTTTGCAAGTTTTATTAGTCATGTTGTCGTTGCTTAAAATGGAAAGTGTTAGTTTAAGATAGCAAGAAGGCATGGCAGAAGAAAACTTTCATTACTGGAGCACGTTTTGGTTGTTCCTATTTAATTTCAATGAATTTTTAAATGCGTTTTTTTATTTTTAATATACAAATAATGATGAGGTCTTTTAACACAATTGTATTTATTAAAGATGAAGTCACATGAAGAAAGTCTCTCCAAAAAGGAAAAAAGCACAGAAGACAAGGCAAAGGAGACAGGTAAGATAGCCATTCAGAATGCATACGTTCACCAAAAATCCATATTTTGTGCTGGAACAAATCTACATATTTTCATTGATGCAGTCTACCTAAACAAGAACAATCTCTTAAGTTACTTACCTGCAGTTAGGAACCTACAAAGAATCACTTTGTTGTTCCATATATTTGAAACATTTGTTAGAGGTTTGTTTGGAAACTCCAGATGGTAATAATCTTTAAAACAGGTATAGTGTTATAGTATGGTTCTCTGCCTTTTCATGTCTGATGTTTTTGTCACTTAAGAATTGTTCCATTTTCTCCAGTAGAATAGGATGTTTAAATAGGGTATAATACTCTTTAGAATGAACAGAGTATTTAAAAAGGATGTAATGATCTGCTTTAGAATTGAATTATATTGATAGTGGAACAGTATGGATAAACAATTATAGAAACCATTGAATTTCTGGGCCAAATTAGAGACCTGTCAAAAACATTAAATGTTTCTAGAAGAAACAGAATAAATGATACAATCTTTTTCTTCATGATACAGAGTACTCTTGACTGTCTGATTTGCTCTATTCTGCATATGCCGAGAAGTGGGCTTTCCTTTTGAGAAGAAGTTATGGCACATCAAAGCTGAGCAGTTTTCATGCTGGTTTTGCCCCTTGTACAGACACATTTACAGTTAATTGAACAACTAGCAGCCTTTTAGTGTCCCTGTACACCAGATCTGTAATCGGGTTCAGCAATTGCTTGCTACACTGCCTACTTACCATCCGTGCATGTTGCATTCTTCTTTCTTCGAAGTTTAGTAGTATTTTAGGAGAAGTTACTCCTCTCAACTGTAGTGCATTAAGTATTGAATATTTTTGTGAGGTGTGAGTGGGCAAATTCATGACAGTATATTAAGTATAAATACACTACTTATACCTCAGAAGGTCTTGGAACTGCATAGTTTTTGAGGCTGGGAAGGTGAGTGCCACATTCTCGCTCAGTTTCTACCAAGATGTCCTCTGGGCACTATTGGAGACAAGTTATTGGATGAGAAGGACTTCTGATCACACATAGTAAGGCTTCAGTTCTTGCCTTCACCACTCCCTTTTCATATTCTAGAATTTTGTAGGGAAACAAGCTTCCTGTTTTTGAATCTGTTTCACCAAAAATGTAAATTAATATCCTTTTGGTATTGTAAATACGTTTCTTAAAATGTTCTCTCTCTCCTGCGCCCCCCTTCCTCTCCCTCTCCTCCTCCTTCTGCCTCCTTCTTTTTTTTTTTTCTTTTACATTTTGTTAGAGCATCAGCATTTAGAACTGGAGCAACATCTAGCACAGACAGAGAAAATGTTAAATTCTTTATTGACTCAGTTGGATCCACTGTCAAACTGGTGAGTGTTTCTGAAACATCTCAGTTAGTATTGTTTCCTGTAAATTGAAATTCTCCAAAATGTTAACAGAGAGTTCTTAAAATGTTCCTTATATATGAGCAGAGAACAATGTTCAGGAACCTTCTTTAATTACTTATTGTTTCTGTAGCCTTTTTCAGGTAATATCTCTTCTGCAATTTGTTATCTTTTCCACAGACACCTTCTGTGTCTTGTTCACGAAATGTAAATGCAAAAGCTCAGACTTCTGATTACGTTACTGTGGCTTAACAAGTTAAACTTTAAGATTGACTGAGGAGACTAATACTGGAAAAATACTTCAGTTCAGTAGCATTTGAAAGCCCTGTGGGAATTCAATTTCTGGGAGTGGAAAGAGTTTCTACCTTTGATATAATTGGAAGACAAAACTAGTTATCAAACTATAGCTACTTCTTTTTGAGTTTTGAAAGGAATCTGTTAAGTGATTGTGTGTGTTTCAGGGAAATAAAACTTCTCTGTTGTAGTGTAAGAAGGGAATAAATATTATAACCTCCTTATAGTTTTAGAGATGTTGTTTCCATAAGAATCTAGGGCCTTACTCATATACTGGAAGTAAAAATATCCATGCAGTTCATTTTGTGTAGACTGACATCCTTGATGAAGCCTACTTTAAAACGTGCAGAATTTCATGATTGTTCCTTTAGTGTACTTCCGAACTTAGTATGTGCTGAAACTATTAAGCAGCAAATTCGCTGACCAATTTGCCTAATAAATTTCTGGTAGTGATGTGGGGGAGACAGAGTAAACAAAATCTGAAATTACAGTCTAGAGGCTTTTCTCATTTAAGTTCTGTATTAGGCGTTGTTGTACTAAAAATAGAATTACTTTGGAGAATTGTTTCTTTCAGTAGTCGTTACGCAACCTTGGCCATTGGGACTCCAGTGTTAGAATTCAGTGGCTAGATTATTCAGTAGGTGTTTGTGGTGGGCTCCCTACTTCTCATGAGGCAGTTCTCAAAGAAAAGCTTGACCTGAAAGTATTGCTAAATTACACATCTAGTTTAAAGCCCTGTTGATGATCCTTGATTGTTGATATTGCAATCTTGTGCATTGTTATCCAGCACTCACTTCCAAGGTAATCTTTCAGCTTTTGACATCTGTCTTTTCTTCTAGTGTTAATGCTTTAGCTTGTGAGCAGAAAGATGAAATAATGACACAGCTCCAATCAATTAGACGACTGATGAAAGAAAGTGGATTGGATAAATCAGAAAACAAGATGAAAGGTACTTTGATTTCCAGCAGGATAGATAACTAAGCAGTTTGTATTTTAAAAGAATAAACAGATCGTACTAAAATAATGTTCAGCTCCTGCATCTTAGGTACTGTGTGTGGAATTAATGTTATTCTGGAGAAGTACTGTTCTTCCTGTTTGAGGTGTATCTAATTTCAAATTTTCGATACTACGTGATTTTTTTTTTTCTTAAGAATAGGTGCTAAAAGACATTGAACTAGGATAGACCATGCAGTCACGTTCCACTTTGTTAAAGCGAGCTTCTTGAATGTGAGTTCCTGAGCAGTCTGTTAGTATTGGACCAACTTTAGTCTGAGAATTCCCAGACAGGGACCTCTGAGGCTGTGGGTGATGCTTGTATAATACACTAATCAGCAGATTGTATATTAGTTTCAACTGGAGACTTCCAAGAGGTGCTTAGTAGTCCAAGAGAAATCTTAAATGTTAAGAATCGTTCACTAGAAATTTGGGGAATTTTTGCATTAGTTGAGTCTTAGTAAAGAGAGAAAACAAATTAAAGAAAATTCTACTTAAACTGACTCTGAAATTTAGAGCCTTTCACCTTTATATTAATATAAACTTTCATTTTAATATTTTTTTAATTTATAAGATGTCAGCCATATTTGTAATGAGAAACTTGAAGATCTCATTCAGTCATTTGCTGAACATTCTCAAGAAAAAGAAATGGATGACAGAGAAGATGACAGTAATGAAGATTCGTTTGAGGATGTTGATAATGGTTACGAAATAGAAGAGCATGAATTATATGATGAATGTGAAGTACATCAGTTTGATCCAGATGTGGTAGAAGACCAAGAAATGATAAACAAAGATGCCATTGAATCAGAAGAGATGGGATTGAGGAGACGTAATAGATATGAATGAAATCTGCATATGTAAAACTTTCAAAAGCTTATGAATTATTTTTTTTATAATATTGTATGCACTTTAAACTGTTTTGAATGAAGTTATGTGCACTGCTATATGCTTTAAAAAGAGAAGTGAAATACTGCCTGTGCTTGTATCTATGACAGTTCTGTATCTGACTTTAGTGGCAGCAGAATTTCACTCAGTATGTTTACATATTTTTTTCTATTTATTTTTCCTATAAAAATATTTCTGTACTCTGTATATAATGCACTGTAATTATATCTCATGTTTCACTGAAATATTAGAATATCTTGTAATTAAGACTATAAAGAATAGATGTTTCATAAATGTTTTGTAACTAGTAAGTGCGGTGCCACTTGAACTGTGGCTTGAGTTCATTAAAGAGCATGCACTGAGGAATTTAGCTCTTTGTGGAAAACGTTAGGAGGGGAATGAAAAGCAGTATGTGTTAAGTCTTAGAGATGCATTCATAGTCAAGTTTCTTCATGTGGAGAGAGAAATTTAGCCTCAAACACTATCTTAAAATAATTATGTCTGAGTTTGTTGTCTCCTCAGGAATGATGTATAGTTTCATATGTCAATTTAAACCTTAATGCATTATACTGAATCACTTAATTTCTTCCCCACCTGTCGCTGGTTAAACTTAGCAGCTGCCTAATCATTGATTGATACCCATTAGTACTGTAACCTGTTTCATATTTATTTTAACACAATAGAATCTGGCCTTTTGATTCATTTTAATACACTTTTTCTTATGTCAATATGAACAGATGTATTGCTCTGTATCATTCAAGAACTGTGGAGCTTGAAGGTTTCTTTTTTCAATACACTATGCCAATCCAGTAGTGGCTTTTTTAGGTCAGTGTTAAGAAAAGCATTTTTTTCTTTTGCTAGGATAATTTTTGTCCGTACCTTTATTTTCTACTAATGTTTTGTTCACTTAACGCACATACCTATGGAACTGCCACCCTTTAATGACAGGAATTACATTAGAGGTAGGTCTGACAGTACAATGCTGTTAAATTTTCTGTTTTATAATTGCATATCTTTTAAGTAGGCCAGTTATAATGCCTGAACTCTTTTGCCATCTTCATTCTTACAGGAAAATAACACATGGATTTGTTTTTATGGAGGAAATGTACTGTAGTTAAAAGGCACCAAAACGATCACTGTGTCACTAACTGAAACGGAATGAATTGTTCATTCTTGTGTAGAAATGTTTTATGTCTTTGGTTCTACAAACGGGTCGCACAGGCTTGGAAGTAGCAGAATCCAGAAATAACATCCTTAGCATCAGTGTGTTAGTATTTTTTTGCAGGAAGTGAGGTTTTGCCTAACTTTAGAAAACTGATTGACCAAAAAGCCAAGGTTTCTCAAGAGGGGTCATGTTTTTCCACAGGACAGAACAGATGATTCGGAGCTGGGATACAATTTGATTTTTAAAAATAACTGCTATAGGTCTGGTCGTTCAGGACAACTGGAGCTGTTTAAAAAAAATCGTAATTGCGTAGAGGCTATCCTCTGAGATGACTAATAAGGCTAATTAATGTGAACTGAAACTTCAAACTGAAGTTTCAAAGCCTCTGATCAGAGAGGATGGAGGAGTGGGAACCAAGCGTGCCACACTGCCATGGCGTTTGCTGTTTGTAGCTCCATCGCTCGCTCTTCTGGGAGAGCTGGTGTGGATTGATACTGTAAAAGTCGGCAGAGAAAAACCCTGTAAGTCTCGTTTTGAAGTTTTAGAAGGTAGGCAATCTTCATGGCAGCGCTGGAGACACGGGGGATAATTCCTCCAAACATGCCTGCCGCAGGTCATGACAAAGTTTATAGTAACAGGATGCAGGTCAGTATCGCTGCCTTCCAGGCG